AATGTTAAATTGGTTTTTAACTTACTATCAAGTACGCTCGAATCCTCCTAGTGAAGTGATGCAGCGATACATAATTTAGCAAAGAATTCAAATCTACATCTGTTAGTTTACAGCCTACATTGCTTGAAAAATAACAAGCCCCATACCGACTTAGAAGATGCTACACAACCACTAAGGGATATTGGTTTATCATCAACACGATTCTTTGGAATTGGAGGATGGAAATTTTCTGTGGAGAAACTCACAATTGATTATTATATGCTTCATGAAGACAACAACGTGCGGTTTGAGTTTTTTTTATCTAGCTTCTCTGCCATCGACAACCGAAGAAGATTCGGAAATAAGCCCCGTCGAAATATGCATAGAAAGCTTACTTCCTTCCATCATCTCGACAAGCGAAGACGATTCGGAAATAAGCCTCGTCGAAATATGCATAGAAGGCTTAGGAGGGACTTCAAGTGCATCCAAACTTCCTTCCATCATCTCCACGACTCTGTTCATTGTTGGACGATCTGATGGGCATGGTTGGATACACCAGAGACTCACCAAGATCATCTTCTTCACAATCTCTTTTTCTTCATTTGTTATTTCATCTCCAAATATCCATGTTTGGTCTCCATTTTCAAGATCCTTATAGATCCAATCCGGGAAGTAAGATGAACTAGCATCGGGAGTTGTTGTTTCAACTATTTCTTTGTTTCTTGCTCCGATCATCTCGAGGACCAACATTCCGAAGCTATACACGTCTGACTTATGGGAGATTCCACCGTACATTCTTGAGAACACCTCCGGTGCAATGTAACCTATAGTTCCTCTTGCGTCTATCAATGACAAAATGCTTTCCCTTTTCTCACAGAGCTTAGCAAGCCCAAAGTCCGAGACTTTAGGACAAAGATTGCCATCTAATAGTATATTCTGAGGTTTAATGTCGAAATGCACAATTCTTGTTTTGCAGCCATAATGCAAGTACTCCAATCCCCGGCAAACGCCTAGGGAGATTCCATAGAATGTTGACACATTCAAAGCCGATGACTTGTTTCTAGAGATGAACTGATCCAAAGACCCATTCTCTAGAAACTCATATATAATGGCTCTTTTCGACCCTTCATTGCAAAAACCAAGCATAGAAACAATATTTATATGGGAGGTTTGGCTCATGCTGGCGACTTCATTGATGAAATCTTCACCATATCCCTTGGAATCCTTCAATACTTTTACTGCAACTTTACGACCCTTACAAAGGTTCCTACCATAAACAGTTCCAAATCCTCCTTTTCCGACTATGTGTGAAAATGACTTTGTGATTTTTTTTAATTCTGCATAAGTGTAATGTTTCAGTAGTACCTTGGACATATCGACACTA